CGGGTTACACTTGACGTACCCCCGACGCACTAATCACGGTAGGGCAGCTGTTAAAAATCGAAAAAAACCAGTGCTATACTTACGTACGTATATAGGTAGATGCAGGAGGCGGAGAGAACGCAGGGAATAGTTACACCTTGAGGTTGATATGCAAAGTATCTGCAGGGGGCGATATATCTTTGAGGCGCAATCACCTTGAATGTAAAGTGTTTAACGTTAATGTTAATGATTAAAAATGTTATAGAAAAGAAAAACCGACATAGCGATAGTACGTAGTAAATAGTTGATTATGTATGGAAAGATTTCCTACTTTATATTACAAGTATATATGTATACGTACAATGAATTCTACTTTCGTTAAGTTCTGCGCATATCCTTCCGCACGGAGACAAGTATTATGTTTTGATGAGTTGATGTGAAAAATTATTTTATATTCCATTATATATACTACGTAGATATATTCAGTATATATATATATATAGTATATATACAGTTACATATGATATATATAGTACAATATATAATTATATATGACAGTATTGTAGATGGATTAGATGGACGAGAGAATCATCTATTCCATATCGAAACATATTCAAATTTTAGTACACTATAATAACTTTCTAAATGGTCATTGAAAAGACAATATTTAAACAACTAACCATAATACTGGATATAAATAAAATAGGAAAAATTAATAGGGCGTATATTCTCAGAGTTCGCCCAGGCGCAGTCAATACCTAAATATGAAACATTATTATATAATAAGAAAATATCGATATGTACATATATGCGTTAATCACGTGGAATTGGGCAAACTGGTAATCTTTTTTGAGAAAAACGAGACAATGGTGTGGGCAGGAATGACTTCCATTTTTAATTATCAAACAATCTATTTTACTATGTAGGAATACTGTGAATAATAATACATGTGAAAATATTTACTTTCCATAATTAAAGACAGAAACACTCGTTTAAAAAAAAAGTTGTTTTGTCTTTATGAAAATTATGTATAAGTGATGAAGATCCTAAAAACACGTTATTAGTAATTCTATTGTCGTTACACAGTTAACTATCAATATATATATATAAGACTCAATTACGTAAACTAAAGATTTACCTATTAAATTCTCTGTAACACATTAAACTTGTACGTTGTCGTTATATGACTAAAGAGCAATGGAAAACAAATGACAACATTAAGCAGATAATTATGTTATACACATACATTGTGTACAAGACTATGAAACAGAAATTTACCCAATAAGGACTAAAACAAAACTATGGAACGTAGAATAAAAGAAGTAAGTGATTATAGATAATCGATATGTTTTATCTTCCGTTATTATCAATTATTATCAATTATCAGAGCGTACATGCATTATTTCGGTTAGTTATTGTCGATTGAAATACTTAGATGGAAAATGCTGAATGAACCAATTGAATGTAACAGTGATACTTAAGTATCTATCTACTTACTATAACGATAAAATACCTTACGTACACATTACATTTGATTGTACACGAAAAGGAAAGACGACCATAACTTCCAAGTCTGGAAACGAATAAATATTGATTGGATAGTCATGAAGATCTGTCTTCCTTTGACTGAATGTTGGTCACAAATCTATACAGAAGCAAACAAAAGAATTTTTTTAAAAAAGGTTATCATTCTGGTTTCTGGTATTGTTTTTTTTTTTTTTTAGGTTGGATAATTCTAATAATAACATTTGCACGAGGTGGATTGAAACCTTTAAAAACTTACATTCTTTATAAATTTTCTTTATCCACAATATTTGATTAACTTCCGTCTACAGCGATACATTCACATTATATACGATACATCTGTCTACTGCAATACAAGTGAAACTTTTATTTAAAAAAAAAAAACAAACATGTTACTTACTTCCGCAGTTTCATTAGCAATTACTACTATTTCTGTAACTTTTCCTGTAGTATTTTACTACACTATAAAAGACTGCTGTTTCCCGGTAAGTCTTGAGCATGTAAAATAAAATAACGATAAAATTGAGAGATAAAAATGAAAGATAAAATTGAGAGATAAAATTGATAAATTTGAGAGATAAAATTGAGCGATAAGATACAGTATAATGAAAAGTTAGTACAACTCATCAAAAGTTGGTAAAGTTTAGGGAATTTCGTAGCATGCTTTTTTTTATAGAAAGAAAATTTTAATTATGTAGAAAGAAACTTCGAATGATCGAGATTTTAGAACTGTATCATTTATTCGAATTAATGACTCTGAAGGTATGTGAATATAATCTAATTTGTGTGGCACTATGAATACCTATTTTGACTATTGTTGTTTTTTTTTTTAGTACGTATAATATCAAAACCAATATCGTTAAGACCAACCGCATTTGAAGATGTAAAAGTCATACAAATGGAGGGATACGATGAATTGATAGTGACGTCACCATCTGGGTTTAAATAATGTACAAGACTTATTTGGTTGGTATCTCATTTGGTTAACAGTTGAATGTGTATTTTATTATGATTTAACTTTGATTCTTTATTGTTTCGACAGAATGCAAATGAATGTATGTAGCATATTATTATTTCAATTTTTATAAAAAACAAAAAATTTTATAGAATATTTTTCTTGAAATGTATCATTTAAACGATGTGTTTCTAGATAGAATTTCTCTCTTTAACATTATTCATAAAGCATTTTATTTTTTGTGGGCGTTATCAGTTAAGGGTGTTAGATATTTCAATGAATGGACATTGACTTTTTTTTAAAAAAAAAAAATTCATAGGCATTATCAAAACCTCAGATTACAATCAGATTATAATTTGAAAATAAATGCATATAGCTTCACATTCCTTTCATAATATCTGAAAATTTAATAAAAGCAATAATAATCATCATTTAAAAACAGTAGAAACAAAACATAGTATTTCTAATCAGCGTCTTTATTCAAACCTCGTGTAACAATAAATTTTTCTGTAATCTTTTTTAATGAATTATGTAGCATAAAACTTCAATGCATTCGTAAAAGTAAGATGAAAATTTTATATAAAAAAAGTAAGTTAGGAAGAGAAAAAAAAGTTGGTATGTTAAAAATATTATTCAAATCATCATAAAAATTAAACACTTTTCTAAAATTATTCTTTCCTTAAAATATTCTTTCCTTGTAGGACTTTAAAAGATGCACAATTATGTAATATATCAATTGTTGCGTACATACTACACAGTATTGCATCATGATCGACTGTGTATTGGTAACTTTTAGATCATAGTGAAAAGTAATACGGTCGGGAAATTATATATTAACTAGAAAGTATGAAGTAATTTTTTGCCTAAAATAAGGATAGTATTGTTACTTTGATCGTCATGGGGTTAAAAAGTAAATGTTTGTCAATTACTAATTGAAAGTGCATTAATTGGCTTTTTAAACCAATTTTTTAATTTTCGTATTGCATTATATAAAGTTAATTAGTTGTTGAGCGCAAGGATAAATCTTTAGGCCAGGAAAATATTATTACCATTACGTATTACCGCATTTGCATTAAATTTGAATGAACCCCGAATATAGAGACTGTTCTACTAACGCTGATCGTATATATGTAAGGACTTGCGAATATCTTGTATTTTTATCGTTATCGACGTGTGTTGTTTTTTACATGGTGAAACTATCAATAGAATTCACATTTGTTAATGATATTTTGAGCATAGTAACGCGAAGGTGATACATTTGTGACTTCTAAGTAAAAAAAAAACTAATGAGAATTTGAGTGTAATACTCTAGTACATACTATAAAACGCATCCGAAAGACTTTGAACTTGAATTACGCATTGATTCAGATACAATACTACAATAGAAATTCGATCTGTCGGGTCGATAGTTACGAGAATTACAATGGATAATTTTATGTAAATAGTAACCTTTTCAATTTATAATAGAATGCAATAGAAATGTATTGATCTGTGCGTACAATATCAATATCAGATATACGCACATGCGTACGTACATAGATAAAGTAATATTTATTTTCAATAATCTGACATACTGGGAGGTATTACACTCTCACCATTCTTTCCCTTAATAACACCCCAGGTTGTACTAATCCCATTTCCCATCTCAACTTCCAAAATTCCTCCATTTTGAATATCTTGGTGTCTAAACCAGGTCTTATACCAATTTACTCCATTTAATTTAACATTTTGAACATAAATATTTTCACTAGAATGATTTTTTGCTAATATTGTAAAAGTAGTATTTGGTGAGAGATAAATGGTTACATTAGAAAAATGCGGTGTGTTTATTAGATATATGTCTTGTCCTGCCCTGTATCATTGTTTCATGGAATCATATTTTAATTGTTGTTATATAGAATATGAGATGAAGTCTAAAAACATAGTAAAATTGAGAAAAATGTTTCAGATAAAATACTTACATGGGATAAATTCCCATAGCATGAAACACGAACCAACTCCCCATAGCTCCTGAATCATCATTTCCTAGTAATATGGCACAATAAGTACTACTATAACAATATTAACTCTGTTCATTCTTTTACATACCAGGGATTCCATCAGGCCCTTTTCCAAATTTTTTTTCCAAAATGTCTCTAATAACTTCAACACTTTTCCATTGTTTTCCAATAAAATGATATAAGCAAGGATGAAAAAAATCTGGTTCATTTCCTATATTAAAGTATGCTGTTAAATAAGATTTATTTTCGAAAGTCTTGTCGAGACGACGTTCGAAAGCTTGTGGTCCTCCAGTAAGATTTATTAATCTTTTTACATCTTATAAAGTTGTTATATAAAAGTTAATATAACCAAAATTTGCGTTAGTTGAGTTTAAATGTGATAAAAAAAAATTTGCGTATTTGAAAATGATGAGAAAAAAATTATTGCCATGTAAAATATCCAAACTATATTCCCAAGCCGACCCTTCATAATACGGAATTTTTCCAGAAAGATTGAACACGTTTAATGATGTATCAAAAGATCCATTTGCAAATCGTGGTAGAATAAATCCTTTAGCACCTATCATCATTATAGGTTTTTATAATAAAAAAGATTATTATTATTATTATTATTATTATTATTATTATTATTATTATTATTATTATTATTATTATTATTATTATTATTA